TCTCTCTCTCTCTCTTCTCTTCTCTCTCTCTCTCTGTGTGTGTGTCTTTTGCGTGTGTGGGATTTTTTCCTTTCCCCTCTGTCTGTACTCTCTTCTCTTAAAAAAATAATAATAATCTCAAACATAACCAAGAACAACCATAAAAAAAGAAAAAAAACACGCATAAAAACAGAGCAAATAACCTTTATGTAACATATAATATATAACGTATTATTCAAAGAGCATAAACATATATAAAAACACAACAAAAAAAAAAATAGAGCATCATCCGCCGTTCTCAAGGGGATACGATCCCACTTATACTTATACACTACTCCTCTTACTTATAATCTTATATACTTTCCTGCCACTCACAGTACAGTACCCTGAGACGACCACCGTGTCTCACTCAACAAGAAAATCTTCTTGACGTGAATGCTAAGACGCAAGGAATATGATTTTCATTATATATATTGTCATTTTGTGTACACTTTTCTATCTTTTTTTTTTAACTGTATGTCATTATTTTCTTTGGATTTTTTGTTGACATAAAACAAGATGCTACAAGGTACTACAAGACAGGACTTCCTTTCACCTGCTGTCGTCTTTATAGCTTGGATATAATGATGATAATGATAATGGTAATAATAATAATAATAATATAATAATAATAATAATAATAATATAATAATAATATAATAATAATAATAATAATAATAATATAATAATAATAATTAATGAATGATGATGAGTGTGGTAATGATAATGACAATTGTAATGATAACGATAATGATAAAAAAAATATAATAATAATAATAATGATAATAATAATAATGATTATAAAATAATAATAATAATGAATAATGATAATAATGATAATCATAATAATAATAATGAATAAATAAAAATGATAATATAATGATAATAATAAAAATGATAAAAATGATAATATAAAAATGATAATATAATGAATAATGATAATATAATAAACAACAACAATAATAATATAATAATATAATAATAATTATAAATAATATATAATAATAAAATTATAATAATTAATAATAATGATAATAATAATAATATAATAATATAGTAAGTAATAATGATAATAATAATAATAATAATAATAATAATAATATAATAATAATGATAATATAATAATAATAATAATAAATAATAATAATAATAATAATAATAATAATAATAATATAATAATGATAATAATAATAATAATAATAATATAATAATAATAATAATAATAATAAATGAGATGAATAATAATGAATATAATATAATAATGTGATAGTAATGATGAAACAATGATATTAATAATGATGATAATAATGATCATAATAATAATAATAATAATAATAATAATAATAATATAATAATAATAAATAATAATAATAATAATAATATAATGGTAAAGGAATGATAAAAATACCATTAATAAAACGGTAAGGATAATAACATTATCATTATTTTCATTATTATCATCCTCATTATCATAAATGCCAACATACTATCATTATTAATATAATTATTGTTATTAATATATTTTTCATTATTATCATTGTTATTATCATTAACATTATTATTGTCATCAGCTTCAACTAAAAATCATTATTAAGATCACTATCATCGCCGTTACTTCAATGATAAGCTCTGATTATTTCTAATTCCAATGATTGTAATCATTGGTATCATTTACAGTCCAATGTATAATTATTTTTTACAATTTATTTCCCTCTTTCCTTTATCCAAATCTCCCATCTCCTTTATAATATCAGTGAAATATCCTAATATTCTTTTTCTGAATTATGAAAATATAAAAATATATAAAATATACACATCTACTTTCTCATATAAAATCGACCACCCCTTTCATCCTATCTATCGATTGACTATTTTTTATCCATATTTCAATGTTATCTTTACAAAGGTCTACGGCCTCTTGAAAAAATATGTTGAAGTGATTTCCGTTAATAGTTCTTTTGGGAATCCATTGCGTCTGTCGAGCAAGCGTGGTTTATATACCGTATATGGTATATATATATACTATATATATATATATACATATATATGTATATTATATATATATATATATATATATAATAATATATTACATATATTTATATATATATATATATATATATATATATATATATATATATATATATATAATACATATGTATATATATATATATACATATAGTATATATATATATATATATATATATATAATATATATATATATATATACTATATATATATATATTATATAAATATATATACATATATATGCATTTATCTGTATTATTATAGATGTTACAGTATATATATATATATATATATATATATATATATATATATATATATATATAATATAATATATATATATATATATACAATATATAATATACATATATACATATACATATATATATATATATATATATATATATATATATATATATATATATATATATATATTATATATATATATATAAATACATAA